CATCCACATCAGCCAAAAATAAACTTTCTGGCTTTTCTCAGTCGAGAAAGCTCCAAATTCTAAAATAATTTCATATTTCTTCTACATAAATGACCCTTTCCAGAGGTGAAGTATCCCTGTAATGTTGAAAGGCCTAATAAAACTCACAATTTAAAGAATAATCATGTAAAAAGAAGAAATTTTGGTGTTCGCCACACACACACACACACACCGTCACTGACCCAAAATCTCCTCCACATATTGATCAGCTGTGATTCTGTCAGCTCGAGTGACATTTTTGCTTTCACACTGAAAACTTCAGTCTGTTTGGGACAGTTTTAGGTGATTTCCATATACCACCCCTTTTTGGTCTTTACATCAAGCGTCTCCAAACCTTGCGTCAGTGTTAAAAGGTTTGACCGACGTCGAAGTACAACCTGCACCTCAAATCACCGTCGAGGAAATTGCTTTAAAAGGAACAGAGAAGCAAAGGGGAAACCATATCCATTTTGCGACCACCCAAATGCATCCGTAACGATCAGTTGTTAACTTCAACAGTGCTAGACATTTGTCTGTCATTGTACTTGTAATAAAGCTCAACCAAATCCTGTTGAGGTGAATATTTGCTAGTACACAACACCACAAATCACATTCTACTCCTCAAATCAAACCCATATTTACCTCTGCACTAGTTTGTCGTATCGAAGTTTGGCGTCAAATCATGATCCCTGCTGTCTGTGTTTTCCCTCAAGGCTTTCTCTTTCTTCTGTCGCGTTCACACAAAGACATTAATCCCTCATTTGTGTGGAAAAGCCTCGACAACCTGCTAATGAACCGTTAGTGCTTATCCTTTAATGAGATTACCACACTGCCCCACATGCGTTAGACTAGAGGGGCAAAGGGAATTACCAGCAAAAAAAAACAAAAAAAAAAACAACTTTTTTACTAGTTTGTATGTACTACAATTATTTTGCCTTTAATTAAGCGCATCTGAACATATTTTCCTTCCTGTGCTAGTTCACTTTTGAAAAAAACCTTTGCTGATAATTTATTCATTTTGTCATCCAAGATGTCCATGTCTTTCTTTCTTCAGTCGAAAATAAATTAAGGTTTTTGATGAAAACATTCCAGGATTTTTATCCATATAATGGACTTCAATGGGAACCAAACGGTTCAAGGTCCAAAAGACACTTTCAGTACAAACTGCAAACTGTTCAAAGGGCTTTAAACGATTCCAGACGATGAATAAGGGTCTTATCAAGCGAAACGATCGCTCATTTAATAAATAAATAACAAAGTTTAAGTTTTATAAGCTCAAATGCTCGCCTTGCTCTGTTCTGTGACGCGCGTTTGTGACTCTCCTGTTCGAACTTGTTTATCAAAATGAACGAATCTCAACGGTTCATTCAACGAACGAATTGACTCGGAAACAGATTCGTTCATTTTGATGAACGAGTTCGAACAGGAGAGTCACGAACGCTCATCACATAACAGAGCAAGGCGAGCATTTGAGCTTATAAAACTTAAACTTTGTTATTTATTTATTAAATGAGCGATCGTTTCGCTTGATAAGACCCTTATTCATCGTCTGGAATCGTTTAAAGCCCTTTGAACAGTTTGCTGTTTGTACTGAAAGTGTCTTTTGGACATTGAACCCTTTGGTCCCCATTGAAGTCCATTATATGGAGAAAATCCTGGAATGTTTTCATCAAAAACCTTAATTTCTTTTCGACTGAAGAAAGAAAGACATGGACATCTTGGATGACACGGGGGCGAGTAAATTATCAGCAAAAGTTTTTAAAGAAGAACTACTTCTTTAATTACATTGAACGTGGACTGATTCAAATCTTACTTAAACGTATATTTTAAAAATACTGAATTTGCAGATAATAAAATACTAATTAAATAAAATGCCAGGTATTTCAATAGTTTACTTTTAGACATTCTAATAACTATAAGTAACTTTGCAACTATTGAACAAATCAACTAACTCTAATGAGAGTATTAGTAAGGACTAGTCTGCTTATTACCGGCTAACACTTTATTGTCATGTGTTGACCAACGTAAATTATGTATGGGATAACTGATGATGGGCCGTTGCATTATTTTTCTAATGATTCAACGTCCCGCAGTTCATTTATATGAACAATGTGTTAAGATATGGTAACAACCAGTGTTTTATTTAAAGACAACTGTCAAGTTTTTGTCCTTAAAACATGGTATGTAGGAGTAATTTATTACGAATCTCATTCCAAGCCTTGATTGCTTATTCCAAAATGTCATTTTAGAGTTAGTAACGGAGGCTTGAGCCATTGATATGCCGACTAATCAAGTTATTAGAGAGATTGCTTGTGCGTGTGTAAATTACTCGAGTCTGTGCGATTCTCAACTGTGCGTTTCTGAGAAATGTCATGCAGCTTTTCAGTCGTGAAACTACTTTACTGCTGTAGATCTTTTAAATAACTTTTAAAATTATTTGGCCATGTATTAAGGAACTAATTAACTCAAGAACTACTTCCCTGAAAATAATTGCACACCTTAGAATAATCATCAACCAATCAGAATGAAGCATTCAACGGCCCTGTATATAATTAATTAGAACTTTTACTAGTGTGTTATTCAATATTACATTTAAAGTTAATATATTCAATTGCAACCTCAAATGCATTGCATTACAAGTTTAAATAAAAATGATCAAGTATATTTTAGTTAGTAAATTCAGTAGAAAACCACACAATACAATGCTGAACAAAGTCGTAGTTTTTGATATTTTTGGACCAAAATGTATTTTCGACGCTTCAAAACATTGTAACTAACAATGGACTACTTTGATGATGTCTTTATTAACTTTCTGGACAAGGACAGTATACCGTACACACATTTACAATGGTGTTAATGACATAATTTTCATTTTTGGGTGAACTATCCCTTTAAGTGCGTCAAAAACTCTCCAAAATTCAGCTAAGTGCATTTAATATAAATTAAACAATGATGCATTTTAACATGCAATTAAGTGTCTGAACACACAAGGGCTGTTATATCCTTAATTGGTCACAAATTTGCAGATGTAAGCCCTTTAAGCGGTTCTGCACACGCACACACACACGCAAACCACATTTTTGAGCGTACTAAATATGAGTCGCTCCTAAATTTGCTATGACGTCAAATATCAAATGAAACATTTTGGCATCTTGCAGCGGCGAACTACAAACACTAATGCTGACAGTTCAGCTTGTTTGGCGTCAGTGCTTCTTGACTAAAGTTATCTCAGCGATTTGAGACGTATTGTGTCAGACAATTTAAAGTAAACCACTGTTGACAGAGGTGCTGTGTTTTGTTCGTGCTTTTTACAGAGCATGCTCTCTTTCACTGTTGCCTTGTCTGACTTTTATAAGCACAGTTTTTTATGTCTCACAGTTTTATAAGCACAGCTATGTTGTTTTATGCTTTTTTAAAGAATACAGTCCCGTATTAGGTCTTATTCTTGTTTTGGCCTTATTTTTCTGGGGAGATCTGGCAACTTGTCTGTCATCCTTTGGATGTGCCTCAGTATAAGATCATGCTATCATTCATTCAAGTCTTAAATGAGTTTAAAAGTGTTAAATGGATGCCGTCAACACCACATCATGAGCATCTGATCTTAAAGTGACAGCAGCATAATAAACCCTGCTGTCTGTTATTAATGTTAATCAAAGAACAAAAGACAGAGAAAATCACTTTTTGTAGCTTTAATGAGGATTAATGTATATTTAATTCATAACTGTGCAGTGTAAAGCACTGTTTACAAGGTTAGGGGGGTCAAAACCGATGAAAACAATACGTTTTGTGCATTTTGGCAGGGCAGGGATATACCCGAGCTGGCTCATCTGGGCAAGCAGAACAAACTCTTAGTGTTGAACCCTGTTATATTAAAGGCACCGCTATATATGACATTTATTACAATGGGTTTATGTGAATATATTGTTTTGAGTTTACAAATTAAAATTAATTAAAATTGATAGCTTACTATAATGCATGCATGAATGGCTATAATGGTTAAATTTGAGGGGGGAAATCCATTTAATAGAGACATTATTCGTATCAGTACTGCTCTCAGTGATATACTGTAGGCCTTCATTCACAGTTCGAAATAAATGAAAACCTTTAATGTTAGGTGCAATTAAATACAAAAATGTGCTATTATTTAAATTTTTAGATTGAAAAGCATGCATTTATATGTATATATTAGGACTGTCAAACGATTAATCGCGATTAATCGCATCCAAAATAAAAGTTTGTGTTTACATAATATATGTGGGTGCACTGTGTATAATTATTTTGTATATATATTTAAATACACATGCATGCTTGTATATATTTAAGAAATATTATCAGATTTATATATAATTTATATTATATATAAATATACATATTTTATATATAAATAATATTTTTTTCTTAAATATACATGCACGTGTGTCTATTTATATATACAAAATAATTATACATAGTGCACCCACATACAGTATATTATGTCAACACAAACTTTTATTTTGGATACGATTAATCGTTTGACAGCCCTAATATATATATTTGAAATTATGATTTTATGCCAACTTAATTATGTGAAAGTGTGCATGACATTCACAGGTCATTGTGGTCCTGGAGGCGCTTCCTTTCAGAAGCTTTTGTGAATTATTTACGCTCGTCAATGTTTCATTAGTGAGTGATGAGACGATGTAAAGTGTCAAATTTACACTGAGACTGAGTGTAATTCAGAGGTGACTGTCTATCGGGGAACAAATCAGATCCTATAGAAACACTACACTGGAAATCATTTCTATGTGAGCACAGCAAAGCACTGTAACTCATTTAATGTGCAAAGACGACGTTTATGTAAAGGCCAGCAGCAAAAAAAAAAAAGATAATAATTCATATTAAAATGCTGACTAATATTAAAAGTGGACCTTTGCACAAATGGCGAGTAGAGGATTTCAATGTCTCATCTGCATGCAAATACAGTTTTGTTTTATGTTAAATACCTTAACAGAGGATCCAGATGAGAGACTTGAGCTGGTAACTTTGAACGGTGACGCTCTTAAACCAAGAGTCAGCTCTGAGAGAACAAGGGAAAACAGCAAAATGAGAACAGTGAAGACGGTCACAAGATTTAGAGGAGACTGAGCTGCTTAAGAATGTCTAATGATGGTGTACGGTTTAAAAACATCATGCCACCCCAAGAAATATTTACACAGCACTGTTTAGATGTTAAATAGAGCTTCGGTCAGAGTAGTCTGTTATGTAAGCTGCCACAATGGCACCACATAGGGCTCATAAATTAGCATTGCCACATTACTGCTAATGTAAACACTGCTCAGCGCCCTCTCCGTTCTCTGGCTATGTTCGGCATGGGATGTAAGGACACTTGAATCATGGAAACGGTTTTGTTACTTGAAATAAAACAACAAAAATCCTGACACTTATTTTATTTCAGCTAGCTTCAAAAGGAAAAAAAAAAAAATCTCTCAAAACTGCAAAGACATTAACAAAAATTCAAATGAAAACCAAAAATATTAAAACAAAAGGCTAAATTCAACTATTGGTAAAAATAATGGCAATGTCCAATCATCAACTTTGAAAATTGTATTTGAATTGGGTTTTCATGAGCTGTATGCCAAAATCATCAGTATTAAAACAATAAAAGACCTGAAATATTTCAGTTGGTGTGCAATGAATCTAAAATCTATGAAAGTTTAATTTTTATCATTACATTTTGGAAAAAATGAATTTTATCACAATATGCTAATTTTTTGAGAAGGACCTGTATTGCATGGCATTAAAATATTAGAATGCATTAGGACCGGGCAACGATTAATCGTGATTAATTGTATCCAAAATAAAAGTTTGTGTTTATATAATATATATTTATTTTTAATATAAACATGTACACATGCATATATATATATATATATATATATATATAAGAAAAATGTGTTAGCAATATATAAAATATTTATATTTAATATAAATCATGTACAAATATATATCAAGTATATACATGCAAAAATTTCTTAAATATAAATATTAAATACTTAAATATTTTTTACAATTTCTTAAATATAAAATGTGTGTATTTATATATACAAAATAATTATACACATACATATATTATGTAACCACAAACTGTGTATAATTATTTTGTATATATAAATATACATACATTTTATATTTAAGAAATTGTAAAAAAGATTGAAGTATTTTATATTTAATAAGAAATATTTAAGAAATATTTTCATGTATATACTTGATATATATTTGTACATGATTTATATTAAGTATTAGTATTAATGTTTTATATATTAACACATTTTCTTAAATATATATATATATATATGCATGTGTGTAAATGTTTATATAAAAAATAAATATACGCAGTCTACACAGATATATTATGTAAACACAAACTTTTGTTTTGAATGCAATTAATCGCGAATAATTGTGATTAATCGTTGCATATTAGAATGATTTCTGAAGGATCATGCGACACTGAAGACTGGAGTAATCAAATAAACACAGCTTTTAATTATTTATTTCTAAAACATTTTATAAACAATGGTCTCAAACCCAAACTTTTGAATGCGTGTTTGTACAATACGCATGTTCAAAAGTCTCTGTGTTGTTTTTTCCATCAGAACTTGATACTGTTCATTGAAACCGTCATGTTTTAACCCAAGAGATCTGTTTTTCGTCAATAAATTCCCAATAAAAACCGCTGATGAAAATAAACACCGCTGATGAAATCAAAGAGTGGACATTGTTCTTAAATAAAGCTGTCTGCTCGGTTTACGGTGTCTTCCATCAGTTAGCGAAAGATTACACAATATGCGGTTCAGTGAGGAGATGACGGTAAACACTCTTTTACTGCAGGTCTATAGCATTAAACATCCTGAGGCTTTCAAGTACATTTGCACGGCCTGCGAGACCTTTCAGAGGCAAGGATGAGCAAAGCACTTCCAAAAAAGGAAGATCTGACAGAGCTGTCGCACTATGACAAATAAGGTCTGTTGATGATACTGAGAAGAGACAGACAGACAGAGATATGATAAAATGAGAAGAAAAGTGATTGTGTTTATGCATCAGGCAGGAGAAAGAGAGTGAACTGCAACATGAATTATGATTATATGAAAGGGGTCCTTAGGCACACATATAACGGGTTATTTTATATCACTGTGATGGTATATATGGAATATCTATGGTGTAACAGTCCAAGATATAGCTGGATCCAGCAAGCATACAAAATAATCATGTGGTAATATCAACTTTTGGATAATCCAGTGAATTAGATGCTTTACAAATTAATGTATTTAAATCTCTTTAGATTGTTTCCCCTTTTTATTTTCATGCAAATTTGCTAAATCATGATTTGTTAGAAATATCATTTGTATCATATTTTGTAAAGTCTGAAAACAGCTTCACATTATGCAGTTCAAGTTAAAAACTCAAAACAGTGAAATTAATATTGCACACATGGCCCACTTTCAGTGCATAAAGAGATGAAGAGTTCAGATGCAAAAGCCATTTGAAATTTTCTTCTAGAATGATAATTTTTATCAAGCTTGTATATTTAAGTTCAGTGATTTCACTTATATGGCAATGATAATTACCTATTAATTGTTATTTAAGTGAAATTACTGAACTTAAATATACAAGTTTGATAAAAATCATCATTAAAGAAGAAAATTTCAAATGGCATTTAGAGGTTTTTGCATCTGAACTCTTCAGATCCACTTCAATCCATGTGAAAATAAAGACAAATCCAGTTCATGGTAACACTTCAGCAGTTCTCAACAGGACCATTATGATTAGCAATACGACTAAATTACTTATTTTAACTCTCTATTAGCAATATGCTAATCGACACATCACAAGAGATTACACAATAACCAATAGGGTTCAAAACTTTCTTAGGACTAGCTTTATTTTGAATATTTGACATTTTTTTGTATGTCTGAAACGATCTGCTTTAGTACGCGCAGCAGTTTGAAAACACTGATCTAAAGATACAAGTCAAGGTATAGTTTTACACTTAAGAGATTGACATTACCCATTTACATTATGAATGCAAGTTTAGTTTTTCATCCTGCTCAGTACACTGCAAAGTTTCTGGATTGACAATTGTATTTAAAATGCACGATTGAATTGGAAACTGTGATGATTGGCAGTGACAATCAATGGACGAGACAAAAATGGGACATTTAGGGATACTTCAGGATTTAGCATTAAGCTTTGTATTAGTAGGAAACCTGTAGTATTTTCGAATTACAGTGCTTTCCACTAGGGGTGGTTAATCTGTCTGATTTCCCGATTCGATTCGATTACGATTATTGAAGTCCCGATTCGATTACAGTCGATTTTCGATTATTAACGATTCTCGATTACCGATTATTGATTTTCCATTTCACAACAGTAAACGAAAATACACTAGATCAACATGTGATTATATTAGCAGCAGCAACATTTTGGTATTAATTGCACTTTTTATTTGTTTGATATTCATTGAAAATATAATGATGGTTAGTGAGGACATGCAAACATCCTTGTTGTCTACTACTTAGGCAACTCATTATCTTTACATTTATTAACTTTAATTTTTTTTTCAAAAGCAATTTTGTTGCATTATAATGCAAATGCACCTGGTTCTATTAATTGACAGCATTAAAATGTATTTTGTGATTTCCTTCAATTGAAAATATTTGAAGCAAGTTTGGGGGACTTGAAGGGCACCCGATTCAGAGAATCACCTAGAAATTCAAAAGAACAGCATTTATCTGAAATAGAAAGCTTTTGTAACATTGAGTCGGTAAGAATTTTTATTTAATTTTTTGGGCAAAAGAAAAAAGAAATCTATACTTTTATTCATCAAGGATAAATTAAGTTGATCAAAAGTTAAAGTACAAGACATTTATAATGTTACAAATCGATTATCTGAATCTTTTGTGTGTGACTATAAATAATTTGCTTTAAAAGTACAAATTAATGACCCATAAAGAATTAATGCACAATATATTTTATTAACATTACAAAGAACGACCAGGAAAATAAATGTGTGCTTGAACTAGGAGCATACTTGTAGTAAATAAATAATATAACGACTGGTGCAGCCGAGTGTTTTTCCTCCTCTGGCTGGAAAGGTGTCATATGGCTTATCATATTTGTCGTGTTTCCGTCATTGGTTTTATTCCACAAAGCGTACAACTAGTGCGGCTCTTGTCCAGCTCCTTTCCCCCTTCAACTTCAGAAGCCAAAATATTTCCACACGTCAGCTTTTAACCTAACAAAGAAAGTGTTTGGATCTCGCTTGCCATCTCATCTCTGTTATGTGCACGCCACAGACGGTCCCGCCACTGCACTTCCGCGCTTCAGAGTTCCGTCTTTCGCGTTCCGTCAATATTACGTTATTATAAATACATATAAAAAAATTTTTTTTTGAAATCGATTTTTTGACATTTGTGAATCGATTCAGGATCGTCCACGTCCGCATCGCGATGCATCGAGAATCGATTTTTTTCCCCACCCCTACTTTCCACCCTCATATCCCCCTTGAGACGAGAGATATGTATTTTTGTCTAGAAAAAATCCTCACATGACGCAAAAATCGTCATTTTGCATCAAAAAGACAGTCAGTAGTCGGGTCTGTCCCGCATGTCCTCAACTCACAGAATGAACACATAGTGTCGTCCATCTTTGTTTGGAAGCTAAGCTAGCAGGCTCTTGTTCTGTGGAGAAAGCTGAGTAGTCGGGGTTACCATTCTCTTTTTCCCGGACATGTCCGGCCGTCGATGTCCGGGATTCAGCTGCTTTCTGCCGTCGCCATTCATTGTTTACATGCACAGCTTTTGTTTCAATCTAACCGAATTCATTTCGATTGGTGAATCTGAATGTAGTGTTTACATGAACGCTAAACAAGTGATCGGTTGATGTGCGTTTTAACATTGCTAAGAAAATTCGCTCATCGGTGATCACGCCACCGGCCTCGCGCCGTTCTCCCGCGGCCCTCACTCGTCCCGCTCGCCACAGTAAACATGATGAACGGCGACTGTAGAACGCAAAAGCCCAATCCCGGACATTTCGGGCGATCTGGAAACACATTTTCGGGCAGACTCATCACGGAGACTCACTAGTAGCCTAGACTTGTTGCTTAACTACTGCGCTCTGTTACCGGTAGGCGTGGCCTCCTAGGGCAGCGAAGCAAGTGCATTCTGGGAGTTGTTGTCTTTCATCCACATCAGCCAAAAATACATTTTCTGGCTTTTCTCAGTCTAGAAAGCTCCAAATTCAAACATAATTTCATATTTCTTCTAAGTTCTACATAAATGACCCTTTCCAGAGGTGAAGTCTCCCTGTAATTCAAAAGTTTTTCGATCTGGTATCAAAACTGGTACAGAGAGCCGTAAAATGGCATTACTGGCATTGGTAGAGACTACTGAAATGTTGGTACTGTGACAACCCTGTAAGATTCATTATGACATATTCGGCACTGCTGATTTCAGAACCTAACTCCTAAATTGACTGCTAAAGGAAATTTAAGTCACTGCTACAAGAAAAGTTAGAGTTAAGCCACCTAAACAAGAATTTGAGGGGACAAATCATGGTGGGTCTAAATATTTTGTGAGAATGAGAGAATGTATATGATTGAATATGATAGTACACCTTTAAATTCAATTAAAGTATATATTTATGTATTATTAAAAAGTTTGTATGCAAGATTGTTTTGAAAATAAGTATTTTCTGCTCATCAAGGCTGCATTTATTTGATCACAAATAGAGCACAAACGGTAATATTGTGAAATATTTTACAATTTAAAAGAACTGTTTTCTAATTGAATGTAATTTATTCCTGTGATCAAAGCTGAGTTTTCAGCATCATTACTCCAATCTTCAGTGTCACATGATGATCCTTCAGAAATCACTCTAATATGATGTGCAGGTCAAGAAACATTTCTGATTATTATCAATGTTGAAAACAGTTGTGCTGCTTCATATTTTTGTGGAAAACGTAACTTTTTATTCTTTGATTAATATAAAGTTCAAACGAACAGATTTATTTTGAATTTAATGCATCCTTGCTTAAAACAAATTCTTCAAATATTATTCAAAAAAATGTTTTGAACAGTAGTGTATATTTTTTCAATTAGATGTACTTTTACAGATTTACCCATCGGGTTGGGAATCGAAAATTATGATATTTATAAAATTAAGATTTCAATTCTGCTTACTGATTCCTGTGTGCACATTTTAATGTGATTTTAAAGCTTTCATGGTCAAGAAGATGGTCAACAAGAACACTCGCAGTGTTTTCTGTGCAGGGCACATCCAGCATGCACACAGAAAGCAGCTTCTCATGCGCCCGAAAATACTGAGTTTTCTGTCTGAACGTAAGCAGTTGAGAAAAAAAATCTATACAGTGTTATTTTACATTTCATTAAAATTTCTGAACTTAATTCAGTTGTATTTATTGGTGCTAATTTGTTCTTATTGTATTACTGACTGTATACTTGTCTATAATAGTGTTTGAAATTGATATTAGTAAGCAGTGGTGGAATGTAACGAAGTACAAATACTTCGTTACTTTACTTAAGTACATTTTTCACGTATCTTTACTTTACTTAAGTAGAATAAATAGTGCCTACTTTTTACTTTTACTTCGTTACATTTTGCAGCAATTATTCTACTTTCTACTCCGCTACATTTCTACAACTTCTGTTATATTTTCATTACATTTTCTGATCAGTTTTTCGCCTGCCCGTCCGTTCGTTGCACGTTTGTCTCACCAGTGACGTTTGGTTGCCATAGATACATCAACTAAATGCGTCTCGCACGCAGTGTGTTTATCGTGCAATTTATACGCCAAAATGTGTTTTTACGTGCATAGGAAACACACCCTGTGTAATATACGTTTGGTTAGGATTATGGCAAGCCAAGAGGTTCAGAATTACACCATTAATTAATTGTGTTTACTGCCAAACATAGTTATTAACATAAAGATAAGCATGGTTTATTGCCTAATTGCAAGCTTGTTTCAGCTTTTCCCATCATTATTGAACATCATTATAGGAGTATTAGGTTGAATTAAATGTTTTATTAATCATTAGAAAATAGTCATTAAGATAATCAATTGTTATGCAAGTATTTTTACTTTTAATACTTAAAGTACATTTAAAATCAGGTACTTTTTACTTGTCATTGTGTTACTTCTACTTTTACTAAAGTAAATATTTATCTGAGATTCAGTACTTCCTCCACCACTGTTAGTAAGTCTAGTTTAGAAGTTAGTTATTTTATTTTCATGGTATAACAGAATGTTTCGCAAAAAGACAGAACGAATAAGTTTGATCTCTTTACCATATTGGAATCAAAATTGGACATCGATAAGCAGAATTAATTGGAATTGCTAAATTTCAAACGACACCTAACCAAATTTACCCATTTTGAAGTTGTTGTTTTTTTTTTTTTACCAAAGTGAGATGTATTCAAATCAATGTATAATTACTATTTTTTTAGTTTATTCAAACCCGTCAATTCACCCACTATTGTTTTGGACCCAAAACTCATAATTGTGCTTTATGAATCATTTGCTTACCTGTTTTCTTTGGAGCAGCAGATGTGATGATTCGAGGAGTCATGTTTCCAGCTGTAGAGGACGATGACAATGAAGAATGTGAAGTTGGGTTTCGGCCATCTTTGATCTCAATGCTGAGGAAGGTCTTCATGTTGGACTCGGGTTCACCCCAGGTATCGTGGATCCCTGAAGACGCTTCTCCCTCAGGAGTCTGCACTTCTTTTGAACCGCCACACGCACGCCTGACATTTTCAGTGCGACCCTGTGAGCCGCCCACTGCGGCGTGTGATTGGTTGGAGGAAAGCTTGGGCTGGGCTAGCATATTCTCAGAGGCATTCCTCCCATTCTCTGGGATGGAGGAAGAGCAGGACAGCGTGTCCCGGGATCTCTCTGCAGACACTGTGTTTGTAGTGTGAGAGGAACTGTGGCCACTTCTAGGTCTATTCGTAACAGGTTCTGCAAACTTGCGCATTCGGTCACGAACAGAGTTTGCACGAATGAAGGGACCCGAGTATGAGGCTTTGTTTTTAAAATCTGGAAAGAAAGAACAAAAATTAGGTCCAACAACTATGTACTAAAAATTAATAATTTGATAAAATGATTTATTGTGTACAAGCATGTTTTTGTATTTAGAAAATACGTGCATGTAGTTCCCTTCAGGTGATGATACACAGGGCCCGCGACCGATCTAAATTATCCTGATATAAATGTATAGTCCATTTTCAATGGTAAAGTGCCTAAGCAACAAGTATCATCAGCTTAACCTTAACCAACCCATTCCACCATATATGTCCCTAACCGTATCCCACCTCAATAGCATTGCAAGTGTTTCGCAATACAACATCAACATAATAAGTACACTGAAACTAAGAATTCATTGTTTGGTCACACCTTAGATTAGGGTCCAATCCTCACTATTAACTGTTTATTATGAGCTAGTAAGGTAGCTGTTAAGTTTATGTATTGAGGGATGTAGATTATGGTCATGCAGAATCATATATCTAAATTAAAGATTTTTAAAGTTTTTAAAATCTGAAAAGGTTTTCCAAGAAGTTGACAGCAAGTGCTACAACATTTAACCCTAAAACCGTATTCTGGACAAATGTGGGCAAAATAGTAGATTTATTTTTAAAAAATACTTCCCTTGACCTGAGCAGTACAAGACTTGGCTACTTTTCCTAAATTTGCCTCCTGAACACACAATTTCAAAAAAAAAAAAAAAAAAAAAAAAAAAAAAAGACTCAATTTTTGAGTCTTTAAGACTCAGTTCTACAATGTTAAGTGGGTGAAAAAAAACTCCTTAATCTTGTATTTGGGTCAAAAATGGGCACCCATAGAAATGAATGGGAAAAACTGTAATTTAGAGCATTCTAAAATAAGCCAAAATAAGACACCAGGTGACAGCAAAGTCACTTCATCTTTAGGTTTTAGCTCTAAGAACTTATTGGAATGATATTTTAATGTAGTTAAAAAATAAAACATAAAAATAAGCATAATTTACATAGAAAATATGGTACTTTTTGAAGTAAATAAATTCAAAAATACCCCCAAAATAAAAAAAAAACACCATAAATGGATAAACAAAACTTTATCGAAGACAGTGATATAACATTTATAATAAAAACAAATTAGGATCACACCTGAGTCCACAATTACAGGATTAAGAGCTATAAAGTGAATACGGTTTGAGGGCCACATGGATAACAGATCTCAAATCATTTGAATTTGATGAGAAATGTAAATTTTTAAATATTTGACGCCTGATTGTAGACGTTGGCTTCATGGCAAATATGATCAGACCTCCTTGAGAACTCTACTGAAACTCTAGAGGAGCCACATGTGACAATGCGTTTTTTCCCTTGGCAGAAGCCAGGAAGGAAGTGAGACAATAAAAGGGCTAGTTCAACTAAAAATGTAAATTCTGTCATCAATTACTCCAGCCTTTCGTTCTTCTTCGAAACAAAATGAAGATATTTTTAATGTAAACATGCAACTAAAACTTGACGTTTCAAAAAGTATTTACTTTTCAAAAAGTAATATATATATATATATATATATATATATATATATATATACATATACATATACATATACACATACATATATATATATATAAACACACACTACCGGTCAAAAGGCTGCAATTATTTGATTAAAAAAAACAGTAATATTGTGAAATATTATTACAATTTAAAACAGCGGTTTTCTATGTGAATATGTAGTGAAGTGTAATTTATTCCAGTGATCAAAGCTGAATTTACAGCATCATTACTCCAGTCTTCAGTGTCACATGATACAGAAATCACTCTAATATGAAGCTCAAGAAACATTTATGATTATTATCCATGTTGAAAACAGTTTTTTACATTTTTATTTCAGGATTCTTTGATGAATAGAAAGTTCAAAAGAACAGAATTGATCTGAAATGGAAAGCTTTTGTAACATTAATCACTACCATTCAAAAGTTTGAATGTCAGTAAGAATTTATTTTGTATTTTTGGGGGAAAGAATTAAAGAAAAAACTTATTCATCAAGGATGAGTTAAATTGATCAAAAGTTACAGCAAAGACATTTATAATGTTAGAAAAGATTATATTTTAAATAAATGCTGTTCTTTTGAACTTTCTATTCATCATAGAATTTTGGGGAAAAAAATGGTACACGACTGTTTTCAACATTGAAAATAATAATTTATGTTTTTTGAGCATAAAATCAGCATATTAGAATGATTTCTCAAGGATCATGCGACACTGAAACTGATGTGTAATCAGCAACAGTAATGATGTTGAAAATTCAGCTTACAAATTACATTTTAAAATATATTAAAATAGAAAACTGTCATTTTAAATAGTCAATATTACTGTTTGTCATTTTTCATCAAATAAAGCAGACTTTGTGAGCAGAAGAGACTTCATTTAATAACATAAAAAATCTTACTGATATATATATATATATATATATATATATATATAGCGGTTTAATTGAAGTCTTCAGAAGAGACATAATCGCTTAATATAATGAACAGATTTAATTTAGGCTTTTTGTCATATAAACACTGATTAACGTGCTCAAACATGCCTGACAGTACTTGACAGGTTTTTCATTTTAGGTTAACCATCCCTTTAATCAGAAGTCTTCACTTGCCATCCATTTAAATTCATTGTGCCAAGAAAAAACAATTGTGATTCTAAGGTTATTAATGTCATCTCATTTGGGATTGTTCATCCCCTCGGGTCATGCAGGATGTTTTGCTTTCTTCAGAAGGGGGGAGGAGACGGGAAAGTCTGATTAAAGCATTACACCGGACCGGGCCCCTAAGACTGAGAGTGTGCTAATGGCCCTATTAGGTCATAAGGAAGAGTAAAGATCTTGGGATACGGGCCACTGACTGTGAGAGGATGACATCTCAATACTTTAAACAAAAGCAGAAGGACATCAACTTGTTGCTGGGCAACTATACTGCCAGGTACAGGGATCAAAGTGAAAAAAATTCTTATGACTGAAATTTTTTTTCAAGTCATATTCCTTTAACTTTATTTAATAAATAGTCGAGACCAATAGAGTTTTAAGAGGAGATGTTTTAAACCGCTTTAATATTTGCCAGTTTGGGTATTTTAAAAGCCATTTTAATATGGGTGTAACGATACGCGATATAAAACCGAAATCACAACACTCAGATCCACAAACCTGAGTACCAGGCAGACACACCCCTTCCAACTAACAGAGTTATCCTTCCCATCCCGATCTTTAAATTACTATTACTATTATTTGAAGTTAACATTATAAAATACGTAGACCTACACCACAAAACCATGTAGTTGAAGATAAATTAAAATTGGGCAATTTCAGCGTTATGGACGTGACATTTGCAGTCAAAACTTGAAATATAAATTCTCAGAAAATGCATTTAAAACCAATTTATTGTAAATTCTGTTTTTTAGGGCTGTCAAAAGATGAATCGCAAATAATCGCATCCAAAATAAAAGTTTGTGTTTACATAATATATGTGGGGGCACTGTGTATAATTATTTTATATATATAAATACACACACATGCATATACATTTAAGAAAAAAATATTATTTATATATCAAATATTTAGATTTTTATATAATATATAAATCTATATACAGGATATACATGAAAATATTTCTTAAATATATACATGCTTTTTATGTGTGTGTGTGTGTGTGTATTTATATATATAAAATAATTATACACAGTGCACCCATATATTGTAAACACAAACTTTTATTTTGGATGCGATTAATCACGATTAATCGTTTGACAGCCCTACTGTTTATACATCAATACTCCCTTAATAAAGGAGTCCAGACATTAGATAAATATAAGTCAACACATGCATGTTATATTTAATATGAGGGAAATACACATGCGTTACGGACGTGACACAAAACATCTTTAAGTTTTATGCAAAATATAGTTTTAGTACGCTACCTAATTCTGTGAATTACACAGCACAAACCAAAAGTAATAGGCCTACTACTGAATGAAGAAGGGTTTGTTTCTCCCCAGAACATAAAATATTCATTTTATTTTATTTTTCGTGTTCGCATTTATGAGAAAAAAAAACATGTTACGGATGTGACAGTTCTCTGGAAGCGGCACTAAAACTTTCACAGAGACCTCAAACAGAAAGCACAAAGCCTTTCTTTAAAGTGAATTTCACTTTATATTAATTGTATCTTAATTTTAATCAATGTTTCCATCAACCAATAACCTGGATTTAATAAATAAGTAGTAAATATAGGCTAGCAGAGATAAATCACGACACGGAGGCACCGGCGTGTGAACTGGAGCTCGTCTCATAAATGAACCGAAACTCAGCGTAAGTTGGATTTGAATAGAAAAAGTGTAATTATAAATAATAAAAGTAATTATGAACTTATTTTAAGACACAGGCTAAATCTATAACTAGGTAACCTTCAGCTGCAGTGTGTTTTTATGAGGGCATGAAGACCTGCTCACCTGTATCCTTCCCGTTAGAAAGAGAAGTCAAGAGATCGTCTCGACCTGATGTAACCTGAAAGAAAATTCATTCAAAATCAACTTTGTGGCGTAACATGAAACTTGGCACATTATATACTCAAAAAAAATGATTTTAGCTCTTTGTTCAATTTCATTCATTAAAATGAGCATATACAACACAATCCTTCATAGAAATGATTCCAGTTTAATTTCATTAAATGTAATCAATGTAATCTTTTAAAAATTTGGTTTACCAATTTTTTTTTAATTGAGTCTACATGAATATTTTTCATTTGGATGTCACTCAGAAAAAAAATTTTGGCCTCTAGTTAAAATAATTAATTAAAATAAGCAAAAGTAACATGATTGTTTAATATTGTCACACCTTAATTTAATTGTGTTCAATCAACCTAATTCATTTGTGTGAAATCTACATGAATCATTAGTGTTGACATCTAACTGGGCAGTGGATCTGTAGTTCCCAGCATGCTTTGCAAGGGACTTTTTGGAAAAATTTTGATTTAATGTGTTTTTTAGTAAACGTAAAGATGTTGTTTGTTAATGTTAGTGTTTTATGTTAGAAACTTAGAGTACTTTCTGTAATGTTTTTGAATTTGGTGACTGCAAGTGTTTAGGTCAGTATTGTGTTCAGACTCAATATTATACTATACACCTCAGGCTGTGGTAAACCTCACTCGCAGTCCTGCACAAGTATGTAAAAAATGGAGTAATGTCAATTGAACACTAGAAGTGTCTATCATTAGAAGTGACCGTCAAAATAACTAAAAAATTATAATGTTGGTGAATTTAGGCAGGACAAAAACTAAATCTAGTTAACCTGACAAAACTTTATGTAGTAGGAATGACTAAATTAATTTAAATTCATCCAACAAGATTACAACAAATTATTTCAAACTAATTTGAATTTGTTGGAAAAATGTAATTCAATTTCGTGGAAAACCTTTCCTTAATTTAATTAAGTTGGTTCAACAGATTATTTTTTGGAGTGTAAAACGAAAATAAGCAGTAAAAACAATAGTTTTCAACATTGATTAAAATCAATAAAAGTATCAAGCAGCAAATGTCAAAAAGGATCATGTGATGCTGAAGACACAGGAACACATTACATTTCTCTATATGTTCTGTAATACTTTTTCACAATATTACTGTTTTGCTGTATTTTTAATCAAATAAATGCAACCTTGAGCAAAAGAGACTTCTTTTTTACTGTCCCAAACAGTTGATTGCTGCTAAAGTGGTTATAAGCATATTACTCGGTAGAATCCGTAATCTGGTCTCTAGATATGGCTCATATCAATGCAAGTATGAGAATTTTTTTTGCTTGTTTTATTAAATTGTAATAGCACAACACTCTATAAAAAAAGCAACATAATACGAGGTAATGTGTCTGTTGCACATGAATGCTAAAACTCCAGTAACCCTAAAAGTGAGCAATAGTAATAGTGATGGTTAGTGATTCTCAATCACATCTGAAATTGAATGTGATGACACTGTTATGAGCAAGTGCTGGATGGATTACACTAACTGGACACTACTGTAAAAAAATTATTCTTCAGACTTAAGTTGGGTAACACTATTTCAGTTTTTCTACTTTAAAATGTCATGTTTAATCCAATGGGTTACTTGCCTTACTTACTAGGATTTGGTTCAGGGTTAGTTGCATGTAATTATGCATCATTTATAGTTACTATTACTATAGTAACATATAACATGTGTAACAAGAACACTAAAATAAAGTGTTACCCACTATTTTTTTCAACGTACAGAAGATAAAACTCAAACAGAGACAAATAGTACCTCCTGGTGGAACAAACAGGGCAAGAGTTCCCATCAGACACTTTCACTTCTACTCACCTTCTGTGCCGCGACTTCTTCAGGTCTTTTACTGCTCATGTTCACAGTGAATTCTTGTGAACTTGTTGTCGTCTCCACGCCATTGTCAAGATTCTTCAGCTCTCGATTCATCCGAGGAGCCTCTGAAATCACGGCAGACGAAGATGCACTCGCTCTCACTTCTTCTGGCCGTGATGTTCGGCTCCTCAGACGATCTTCGGCAGAAGACAGGGATTCATGACTGCGATCCGAAGCGCTGGAGTTCAGTCTCGTTCTCTGATGAGAGCTGTGGCTGTCACTCGACTCTCCGGAGTCGCAGCGCTCCCGGTATGAAGGAATGACTTCTGATGAGGGCGAGCCATGTTCACATTGAATCCGTTGGGTCAAAGGGCAAGAGACTTTCTCTCTGACCAAAGGATCTAGTACTAAAACCATGTCGGGGTTCGAGCCTACAGCAGAAGAGACAGATGCATAAACAGGAGCAGTTTAAGTGGACTAAAAAGAGAAAGTCATGTACGCTTTGTAAACACTGGGTCGGTATTTCCGCCGTCACGCGTGACCTTTCAACGTGATTATATAATGCGTGAAGTCGTGGATGAGTGTTTTTAGTTAAAAATTATAGACTTTTTTCTTTTTAGAAAATGAGTTTGTCTAGATGATCCCCTTATTCCTCGGCTGGGATCGTGTCGAGTCCTTGAAGCTGCACTGAAACTGACATTTGGATCTTCGACCCGTTGGACCCCATTGAAGTCCATTATGTGGAGAAACATCATGTACAGTTTTCATTAAAAACCTTAATTTCTTTTCGATTTTCCTTTTAATATTTTTTTCTTTTCGATTAAGGTTTTTAATGAAAACATTCCAGGATTTTTCTCTATAGTGACTTCAATGGGGTCCAACGGTTCAAGGTCCAAATTAGAGTTTTAGTGGCAAATGAACAAATCTTTTTTCGAGTCATTTTGTTCATTTCGTTCGTTGAATGAGCCAACTCGAAATATTCGAGTCATTTGAATGTTATTCATTGTCTGGTGTCGTTTAAAGCCTTTGAAGCTGCAATGACACTCTCATTTGGACCTTGAACCGTTTGGTTCCCATTGAAGTCCATTGTGTGGAGAAAAATCCTGTACAGTTTTCATTAAAAACCTTAATTTCTTTTCGACTTTCCTTTTAATATTTTTTTCTTTTCGATTAAGGTTTTTAATGAAAACATTCCAGGATTTTTCTCTATAGTGACTTCAATGGGGTCCAATGGTTCAAGGTCCAAATGAGAGTTTTAGTGACAAATGAACAAATCTTTTTTCGAGTCATTTCGTTTGTTGAATGAGCCAACTCGAAATATTCGAGTCGTTTGAATATTATTCATCGTCTGGTGTCGTTTAAAGCCCTTTGAAGCTGCAATGACACTCTCATTTGGACCTTGAACCGTTTGGTTCCCATTGAAGTCCATTGTGTGGAGAAAAACCCTGTACAGTTTTCATTAAAAACCTTAATTTCTTTTCGACTTTCCTTTTAACATTTTTTTGCTTTTCGATTAAGGTTTTTAATGAAAACATTCCAGGATTTTTCTCTATAGTGACTTCAATGGGGTCCAATGGTTCAAGGTCCAAATGAGAGTTTTAGTGGCAAATGAACAAATCTTTTTTCGAGTCATTTCGTTTGTTGAATGAGCCAACTCGAAATATTCGAGTCGTTTGAATATTATTCATCGTCTGGTGTCGTTTAAAGCCCTTTGAAGCTGCAATGACACTCTCATTTGGACCTTGAACCGTTTGGTTCCCATTGAAGTCCATTGTGTGGAGAAAAATCCTGTACAGTTTTCATTAAAAACCTTAATTTCTTTTCGACTTTCCTTTTAATATTTTTTTCTTTTCGATTAAGGTTTTTAATGAAAACATTCCAGGATTTTTCTCTATAGTGACTTCAATGGGGTCCAATGGTTCAAGGTCCAAATGAGAGTTTTAGTGGCAAATGAACAAATCTTTTTTCGAGTCATTTCGTTTGTTGAATGAGCCAACTCGAAATATTAGAGTCGTTTGAATATTATTCATCGTCTGGTGTCGTTTAAAGCCCTTTGAAGCTGCAATGAAACTCTCATTTGGACCTTGAACCGTTTGGTTCCCGTTGAAGTCCATTGTGTGGAGAAATATCCTGTACAGTTTTCATTAAAAACCTTAATTTCTTCTCGACTTTTCTTTTAATATTTTTTTCTTTTCGATTAAGGTTTTTAATGAAAACATTACAGGATTTTTCTCTATATAGTGATTTCAAAGGGGTCCAACGGTTCAAGGTCCAAATTAGAGTTTTAGTGGCAACTGAACAAATCTTTTTTCGAGTCATTTTGTTCATTTCATTCGTTGAATGAGCCAACTCGAAATATTCGAGTCATTTGAATATTATTCATCGTCTGGTGTCGTTTAAAGCCCTTTGAAGCTGCACTGAAACTCTCATTTGGACCTTGAACCGTTTGGACCCCATTGAAGTCCATTATGTGGAGAAAAATCCTGGAATGTTTTCATCAAAAAACTGAATTTCTTTTCGACTGAAGAAAGAAAAACATGGACATCTTGAATGACACGGGGGTGAGTAAATTATCAGCAATAGTTTTCATTAAAAGTGAACCACTCCTTTAAAACAAAAACAAAAAAAGAGGATCAATATTGCTAAATATTTTAGCTTAAGTTTTTAATTATTGCGCTTCTACCGCTAATCGTTCCGCCTAACTGACGCAAACCTAGATTCGCTTGCTGTCAGGATAATCTCTTATTGGGAAAAGTAAATACATGTTAATTTCTAACATTTACAGGCAAGTATACAACCGTAAGATGTACAGTAAGCTGTGCATTGAGAAAAACGTGTCACAAAATGTAAACATTTCTTGTTAGTTTTTAAAAAATATGCAGGAATGGAATCAGGAATGCAACGATCAGATATCATTGTAGACTCGTGGGCATTACATGCATACTGAATGTATGAATACTGCATACTTTCAGGTGTACATTAGCACGTATACTAGTTCACTCCTCTATATTCTCCACATATAAGCAAATATATGCAGCCAGGCACAGACAAAACGAACAGAACGAAACCAAAGGAATGCCAGATGGTTATTGTAATGAGCTGTGCATGCTGGGTGGAGATAGGACATTTCCTTTCACATTTCCTGAGTATATGACACTCAGGGCAAAGGCTGTTTGGGGAAACAAGGACAGAGACATCCAGACAGAGAATACATGGTGTGCACAGGAAGTGACATAAGCGTCAAACCTTATCAGCTTAATATTTGACAACTTCGCAATGTAGCAGCTCAAACTTGGAGATATAACTAAAATGGGCTACTTTATACAATCATAATGGTCTTAAATGATCCTCTATTAAGTGAGTTGTTCACTATTAAAAAAATTTGCTGATCATTTACTCACCCTCATGTCATCCAAGATGTCCATGTCTTTCTTTCTTCAGTCGAAAAGAAATTATGTTTTTGGATGAAAACATTCCATATAATGGACTTCAATGGGGTCCAAACGGTTCAAGGTCCAAATGAGAGTTTCAGTGCAAAATGAACAAATCATTCAACGAACGAAATGACTCGAAAAAAGATTCGTTCATTTTGATGAACGAGTTCTAACAGGAGAGTCACGAACGCGCATTACAAAACAGAACAGAGCAAGACGAACATTTGTGCTTATAAAACTTTATTTTTTAAATTTATTTTTAAAATGAGCGCTCGTTTCACTAGATAAGACCCTTATTCAGTCTGATGTCGTTTAAAGCCCTTTGAAGCTGCACTGAAACTTTCATTTCGACCTTGAACCGTTTGGACCCCATTGAAGTCCATTATATGGAGAAAATCATGGAATGTTTTCATCAAAAACCTACATTTCTGAAATGTATGTAAATGTAAATCATCAGCAAAAGTTATTTTTTAAAGTAAGGTATTCCTCCAGGTTCTGGAAGCATGTTTGACGTATGTTTGTATGTTATTCTTTTACTTTGTGATATGGACCTAAGGGTCTGGAATAAAGAATTAATAATAATAATAATAATAATAATAATAATAGAAAACCTGTCATTTTTCTTTCATTAAACCCGTGCAGCTGTTATCGAAAGTTTCCAAATCTAAACCAGAGACACGAGACATTTTTATACCGTGACAAAAGCGAAGACTGTCTGCGACATGTCAAAATGCTGATCTGACTGATAACACTTGAGAGATTCACATCCACACGTCAGCCACACACTCCAGCTGTAATGAGAGAGGGCTAATGCTCTTTTAAGGTAACAGCGTTTCTGCGCAGATCCCTGTAATTTGTAGGAAAGCAGTCTTGCCGACATCCTGATACTTTTCACATCTGGTCAGGAAGTATCGTTCTGTTTCCACCATTCTCAGATCTCAGAAGAAGCATGCTGCTTTTCAACTGCTTAGTCTACATCTTGTGTTATTTTCATGGCTTACAGAGTCAGATATACTCCTTTAAAGGGCCTTTTCAAAGAACGTTTTCTTATTTGAAAGATTTATGATCGTCATGAATGTCAAATGGTACGTTTACCAATAAAAAAAATTTGAAGTGAAAGAAGTGATAGCTTCCGACTTCAACTATATATATGGCACACAAACAAACGTTAATAGCATTCAGAAACTCCCTCTTCACTAAATTAAGAGTAAGTGAATATAAATGACACATCTTAGATGAGTAACTGTGAGGTCTTGAGGCTCTGGTCCAGTCAAGGGCTTAATTTGATTACCATCTTGTCTGCTTTGTTTACCACAAGTGATGTGGCAGGCGATGAAGTTCAGAGATCCAAAACCCCAGACGCATTCTTCAGCTTCGGCACAAAGAGCGGCTCTCCACACTCTCAGACAAATGCTAGGCTATAAAATAGTGCGTGTCAAACCCAACAAAGTCCCTCAATCATCTCTTTGGATAAACAGATCTGTTTCAGCTGGTGTGGAAAACAGGTATTACACGTGCACGGCATCTTTTGTTGAAAGAATAGCTCACATAAAAATTCAATGAACTCCAAAAATGACTAAAATTACTCGTTCATCGACAAGCATTAGATTATTAAATTAACTATACATATTAAGTCTTTTCATGGAAATTGTATATACTCAAACCCAAAAAGGATTTGTATGGAAGTCAAAATTATGAAATATTTTTTTATCCCATAAGTGTGATTTCCAGTAGTATCTCAATTTTGATCATTTTGACTTTACACTTTTGTTTTATCACATAATTATGGAAAAATGTCACAATTTTTGACTTTGTTATAATATGACTCAATTTCAACTTCTCAATTATGACTTTCATTTTGACCTTTTTTCTAATAACTACGACTTTCATCATTGACATTTGATCAAATTTTCAACTTTTCATAACTATGATTTAGTTTAGACTTATTTCTCATGAGAGTACTTCATAATTATGATTGGCATAAGTCTCAATTTCGACTTTTGCTTTAAATATCTTAATTATGATTACATTTTCATAATTATGATTTTACATCATTTTTTATCTCATAAACTGATAATTTACTCACCCCCATGTCATCCAAGACGTCCACGTCTTTCTTTCTTCAGTCGAAAAGAAATTATGGTTTTTGATGAAAACATTCCATGATTTTCTCCATATAATGGACTTCAATGGGAACCAAACGGTTCAAGGTCCAAATGAGAGTTTCAGTGCAGCTTCAAAGGGCTTTAAACGACACCAGACGATGAATAAGGGTCTAATCTAGCGAAACGATCGGCCATTTAAAAAATGACTCGAAAAAAGATTCGTTCATTTTGATGAACGAGTTTGAACGGGAGAGTCACGAACGCGCATCACAGAACAGAGCAAGGTGAGCATTTGAGCTTATAAAACTTAAACTTTTTAATTTATTTTTTTAAATAAGCGATCATTTCGCTAGATAAGACCCTTATTCATCGTCTGGTGTCGTTTAAATCCATTTGAAGCTGCACTGAAACTCTCGTTTGCACCTTGAACCGTTTGGACCCCATTAAAGTCCATTATATGGAGAAAATCCTGGAATGTTTTCATCAAAAACCTTAATTTCTTTCCGACTGAAGAAAGAAAGACATGGACATCTTAGATGACATGGGGGTGAGTAAATTATCAGCAAAAGTTTTTTTAAAAGTGAACTACTCCTTTAAGAAGATTATACCAATTTAACCGACTTTTAATTAAAAGCCTGAAATACCACAGTCACTATCAGTACTATTGTCTAAGGGAAATGCCAGACGATATTCTTTTTGGATAAAGCAGCAAAAACTAAGACAGTCTACCTTTATCTGATTTCTAAATGTCATCAACTCAAAATGTGACGCAAAACGTCAAAACACTTGCAAGACAAAAGCCCGTCTCCTCCCTCAGTCTCTTCCCTGTCCTGTCCAAACCCCAAACTTCCTTTGTCTCCATCTGAAGAACAAACAGTGGCTTCTCAAAATGTCTAATTCCTGCACTCATTAAGGCCGTCTCTGCTTGGCCCTGCTCTCACCCTGGCCAAAATGACTGGGTTGAGCAGCTGAGTAAGGACCACTAACACCACAAATGTCAGGGTCACAGGAAAGGAGTTTTACTTCAACAGACAGTGTGTCTAAATATAGGGTTGACCTGGTAGGGGGGATGAAAGTGTCTTTGGCAGACATAAATGAGCTTTATATCTCTACGGTCGCTGAACAGCCATAGTTTCTATACATTTTTAGCGATATTAAACGATGATTAGGTGATTGTTTTGTGTGATTTAACTTGCCTTCTCTGTGGTTCTCAACTCTCTCTGATTGGCTGATGAGCTCTTCTGCCTTGATGTTATCCTGTCCGCCCTGCAAAATATAAACAAATTCATTTTCTAATGAAGCTCCATTCAAATGACCAAATCATACTGACTAGGACAGCGAGATAAATGTAGCCAAAACACAAAATTGCAGTTCAATAGATATTCAACCATCAGAACCGATTTGCAAGACAGAACAACTAATCGGTTAGTAAACGGCTATACAAAACAGTATATTTAATTCATAGTTTTTTCTTTAAACTCTTGAATGAATGATTCACACTCTGAAAAAAAGGTACAAAAGCTGTCACTGGTATGGTATCCCCTTTAAAAAAAAAGTTTTCATATGTACCATTTAAGTACTAATTAGGACTGTCAAACGATTAATCGCGATTAATCGCATCCAAAATAAAAGTTTGTGTTTACATAATATATGCGAGTGCACTGTGTATAATTATTTTATATATATATATATATATATAAATACACACACGTGCATGTATATTTAAGAAAAATATTATTTATATATAAAATATTTATATAAATTATATATAAATCTATATACAGTATATACATGAAAATATTTCTTAAATATATACAAGCATGTTTTTGTATTTATAAATATAAATTAATTATACACAATGCACCCACATATATTATGTAAACACAAACTTTTATTTTGGATGCGATTAATCGCGATTAATCGTTTGACTGCCCTAGTACTAATATGTACACTTTTGGTACCAATATGTACCTTTAAGGGACTAATTCACACTCTTTGAGTACAAAGGCATAGCTTTTGAAAGGATCCTGCACTAGTAACAGCTTTTGTACCTTTTTTGTGTTCAAAAAGTGTCCAATGACTCACTCATAAAGACTTCACTTGATCGATTACTGAATGACTCAGCGTTTTTGAACGAATCTCTTGATGATTCAATGACTCGCTCTCAGGCGTCTCAGTCTCAACTTTGCTTCAGTAAAATAATATTGTGGTTACGACTGTGTACATCCTAAAAAATTGAAATGGCAGGATGTGTTCAATATAAAATATGTAGTTAGCCTATTATAAATTGATGTAGCCCTCAAACCGTATTCACTTTATAGCCCTTAATCCTGTAATTGTGGACTCAGGTGTGATCCTAATTTGTATTTATTATAAATGTTATATCACTGTCTTCGATAAAGTTTTGTCTATCCATTTATGGTGTTTTTTTTTATTTTGGGGGTATTTTTGAATTTATTTACTTCAAAAAGTACCATATTTTCTATGTAAATTATGCTTATTTTTATGTTTCATTTGTTAACTACATTAAAATATCATTCCAATAAGTTCTTAGAGCTAAAACCTAAAGATGAAGCGACTTTGCAGTCTTATTTAGAATGCTCTAAATTACAGTTTTTTCCATTCATTTCTATGGGTGCCCATTTTTGACCCAAATACAAGATTAAGGAGTTTTTGTAGAATTGAGTCAAAAGTAGCCAAATCTTGTACCGCTCAGATCAAGGGAAGCATTTTTTAACAATAAATCAAAACTATTTTGCCCACATTTGTCCAGAATACGGTTTTAGGGTTAAGTAATACAACAACATGAGTTTAGTTATATCAATCAATTGGGGGCACAGGGGGGATTCAGGGACAATAAATGAAATAAAATTCAGGACACGAAATTGATTAATTGATTTTTAACCGAATCGTGAGATGTCAAATTTTAAGCAGCTGAATTTTAGATTATATATAATAAGAATATAAATAAACACAAATAATTCTCTCAAACACATGAACCAGACTGAACCTTTAAGTCTTTGAGTTTGTATGCAAGTTGTAAATAAGGCTGAAAGGACTAAGATGTTTATTGTTAGCCTAATGCTGTGGACTTTAAGTCTTTAGGCTTAACGGTGATTGTCTACCTCCTGTAACAGGATTAACAGTTATATGGTGCAATAAAGAGCAAACCGCAGTTAATCAGCAGCCCAATACAAACACAAATAATCAGGCATTACACGAGGTCACGTGCTGTCTTGAGAGAACGATTTAAACCTAACATATGTAAATTAGCATTTGGTCCCACAGTAAAGCTGCCAGATTTTACTTGCAAACAGCAAAGCATCATTTTCCTCTCTGTAAAAAACACTGCTTAGCCAGCACTCGCATCCATATTTCCACACTATAATTACAAGATGCTCGCCATGAATACACATAAGAAATGGCTTTTTCTGAAGTTCAGATAAAGGTTGCCGTTAAAGAGACATTTCAACCCAAAATAAAGAACTGAAGCGGTCTTAAAAACGTCAGCCTGTTCCTTACACAAAGCTGTCGCATGGCTTTTAAACACTTTGATTATAGTGCCCGAGTTGCATGAACAACTTTTATTGTACTTTTTTAGGCTCTTGAAAGCCCCAGTCCCCAAAAGTGCAATAAAAGTTGTTCATGCAAATTGATTTTTGAGTGAACACTGATTTCAAGCCTCTATGCATGTGTATGTGGTCCATCCTTTGTGAAAGTTTTATCAAAAGTTTCAGATCCACTGACACTCACGAGATCTCTGCTTCTCTCGTCTATCTCGCCACGTAAAGCTTTATATCTTCTAAATTGCCCCATTTTGAGGTAGCTGAGTGCACAAACCTCATAAGATCTAGTGTGTGTGAAGCATTTTCCATGAGCGTCTGGATAAGTCTGGTGAACCACACACACCCTTAACTCATGATGAGTGAAATACAGTAGCAGGGCCCGTCATTTTGGCTCCAACACACACACACACACGGTAAAATGATGACATGAAGAGATCATAGATCACATTCACTGAATACTGCAGCTCAGTTTCCCTTTGTCTCTCTCAAACAATTAGAGGGAAATTTTTAAATTTGCATTTTTAGATTTTATTTAAATATTTTAGCTCACTGTGTTACATATAATAGACCCTACAGTTCGAATATTGGGGATTAATCCTTTTTTTTTTTATTCAGCAAGGATGAATTAAGTTGAATTAATGCTGTTCTTTTGAACTTTCTATTCATCCAAGAATGCTAAAAAAATCATCACGGTTTCCACAAACATATCTATTTTCAACATTGATCATAATCAGAAATGTTTCTTGAGCATCAAATCATCATATTAGAGTGATTTCTGAAGGATCATGTGACACTGAAGACTGGAGTAATGATGCTGAACATTCAGCTTTGATCACTGGAATAAATTACATTTCACAATATATTCATAGAGATGAATGTTCAATGTACTAATATTTCACAACTTTAGTATTTTACTGTGTTTTTGATCAAATAAATGATCCCTTGATCAGCAGAAATCTTAACAACCCCACATGTGTGTGTGTCATGTGTATATATATATATATATATATATATATATATGAAGAGTTGAAGAGAGACAAAAGCCTCTAAGTGCCATTTGAAATTTTCTTCTAGAATGATCATTTTTATCAAGCTTGTATATTTAAGTTCAGTGATTTCACTTAAATGGCAATGATAATTACCTATTAATTGTTAATTAAGTGAAATTACCGAACTTAAATATACAAGTTTGATAAAAATCATCATTTAAGAAGAACATTTCAAATGGCATTTAGAGGCTTTTGCATCTGAACTCTTCATTTATATATATATATATATATATATATATATACACACACACACACACACACACACGCACATACTTAAAATGTAGTTCATAATTAAAATGTTATGAATACTGTGAATTAATGAAATGTAAAAATGTATGCCATTTAATCCATATTAATAAAACAATGAAGTGGAAAAGTATGGCACCAGCACAATATTTATAGTAGCACATGATAAAACCCTTCATTAAAGAGCAATTTACCTTCTTCTGGAGTTCCTGTATGAAGCTCTCAATCCACACGTGTGTACGGCACATAAAACACAGCACTCAGTCACTGAGCTCCGGCTACCGTACACACACACAATCACACTGGCCACTCCCCCTTCTTCCTGACCACTCCCACTCTCTTCCTCTCCACATCCCACCCATCCTGGTTAACTCAAGTCTCTTGCCTCTCATTATATCGCAGGTCAACAGATAAACCACCACCACGAACCCCTCAGATTCAAACTTTGCACCTTCATGTGTCATAAAACTCAATCTAAAACTGTCCAAATAATCATTTGTATTCAGGGAATCTATTTTTATTACAGAAACTTCATTTTCAGAGCTTTATAAACTTTCTATATCTAATAATAATTTAAAAGTTCATATACTATATTTGTTCATATACATATACTATATGAAAATTGAAACTTCAGAGTCAAAATCAGCCTTCACAGCTTCCCCCACACTGCAGTCGCATGATTCCCAAAGCCAAACTTTATACACAGGAAAAGATGTCAAACTGAGATATGACAAAACGAAGCAAACAAAACATGAAAGCACAAACGCACAGGCCTCATGTCACAGAAGACTAGAATTCTGCTGATAAACATGAAGGAATAATAATATTGTCGGGGACAAAAGGAAAACGCGTTATACAAAGCAGATATGTAAATGTCAAGATTGAACAAAATGGCATTCTTCTATTCAGGATTGTTTTTGAACACATTTAATCTGTCTTTTGTGTTGCCACTGTTAATTATGAAAGATATGGCCAATTAAAAGCAATTAAATCTGCTTTTTTACTGTTATCTACAAAATATATAATATACAATAAGTATTAAATCAAAGCTAGTTTTATAATATTATTTTAAAACTCTATTTCCTCACTTAAAGAGATAGTTCACTTTGAAATTAATTTTTGGTATGTTTTAAGTGTCCGCAGTATTTTCAATTTTGATATTTTTAGGTCAAACCGTTCTTGTCTGTCAGTCATATAATGGAGGTCTATGGTCACCACCTCAAAGAGCATGCACAGAGAAGTCCAGATTAAACATGATTTAATGACTCGTAAATGTAAGTACACATTGATGGCCTAAGACACGAAATGAGCGGTTTGTGTGAGAAAACGAACAGTATTTATATCGTTTTTACCTCTTGTAACTACGTAACACTCGTTGTTTACACTGATTTCAGAAGTGTTATCCTTCACCTGAAGATCTAAACATATTTAGATATACAGGAAATTGCAATGGAAGACGATTTCGATACATCAACAGACAAGGTTGATTTTTTGCATGTGCGGAACGAAGCACCCGCGCCCTCAGATCACTTGGACGTGGCTGTGGATAAAGGAAGAGGTAAAAACGATATAAATACTGTTCGTTTTCTCACACAAACCGCTCGTTTCGTGTCTTAGGCCATTTACGAGTCATTAAATCATGTTTAATTTGGACTTCTCTGTGCATGCTCTTTGAGGTGGTGACCATAGACCTCCATTATATATGACTGACAGACAAGAACGGTTTGACCTAAAAATATCAAAATTGAAAATACTGTGGAAACAAAGACACCATCTTGGATGCCCTTGAGGTAAGATAAAACACACCAAAAATTCATTTCAATTGTTTATCTACGGAAGATCTACAGGGCCATTCACGTCGCATCAGATGTGTGACAAGCGCACGCACAATAGAGAACAACGCAACGGGCTGGCTTTGTGACGCGCTCGTTTAAAAACATCTCAAGTGCACAGCAGGTCATGTGACAAGAACCAACCAATCAGCTTCACCCTTTCTCCAACAATATTAAAAGCTCAGCGTAAATAAATCTAGTGGCAGAGCATTTATGCTTTGCTAAAACTTTCTCGTAATGAATACAAGACGTGAACGCCCTCTAGAATACAGTGTATTATTAGAGCCAGACCGATATATCGGCATTTTCCAAACTATCGGTATCGTCAATTATAATGGCCGATAAATGAATATTTCAAAAATAAAATAAAAAACAGAAGAAACACACTTGAACCATGTCTTGTTGTACAACAAGAACATTGGATTTAATGGTAATTTTGATCTTGCGAACAGCATATTATTTGCACTAAGCAAATCTTTGCGTGTTGCCATTGAACTGAGCAGCAGCTGAAAGAAGATGGGTGGGAAGATTTGCATTAAATTTCAAACATTAATGCCAAACTCATTGTTACATATCCTGTGACATGACAATAACCTGTGCCATATTACCATAGGAGGCTTTTTTCCTCATTGAAAAGCTGTTTATGAAGATATGATACCCAATAAGTGAAGATCCTTATACAGATGTGTCTTTCTTTCCACTTGGTTGCCTGTTATTTTCACTAGGCATTCAGTTGGATATGGGTAATATTACAGACAAGTATGAACTGATACACAGGTAAGCGTGCTGATGTTTACTTTAAAGTCTCGCTGAGATAATGCCTGAGAAAGAGCCATGGGAAGAGAGGATAGAGAAATGAAATAAATATGAGGAGGAGGAGGAGTGGAGAGGGACATGGGTAGATTAAGGTAAAGACAGCAGCACATTTTTAACATTCTCCACATTTCAGTCGGCGGAGTGATCTTGCTGTTAGCACATTAAAGTCATTAAAGAATAAAGGTGTGCGTGTGACCAGGGAAAGTGGAATGAAAAGAAAGTGAAAGCTAAAAAAAGAAGGCACATATTTGCATATTCAGAAAAAAATGATGTGCGATGTAATGTTTTTTTTTGTAATAACCTAATATTGATGGAATTACGCGTTTTTTGAATGTTCATTCATTATTATCCCCATATTGTTGCGGCTCCTCTCTTCCCAGTCTGTCAGTAACGCTCGGTTTAGCTCCCGTCTCTATGAAGCCCCTCCTTCTGAAAAGCACACTGTGCTCTGATTGGTCGAGGGCTCTGAGCGTGTTTGGGAAATGTCCCGCCCCTTTCCATAACCGCCAGTTTAACACACTACTAACTCACTCAACCAGGCCCCGCCCCTTTATTCTGCATATGAATTATTTAAATGAGGAATAATGTGACGCGTTTGTAACCCGGAAGAAGATCAAGACTACAATGGAGGCGTTTCAGGGATTTCAGAAACAGCAACATTACACACTAAAGAAAGATAAACATGTAAAAAAAAAAGCATAACAGGTCCTCTTTAAACAAACATAATAAAGGTGCATTTATTTGAGCTTGAGGTGTCATTAAAGAAGTGAATAGTGATATCCTATTATTAAACATTTCAATACATTTAAACATATTTAGATATATCGAAATCGTCTTCCATTGTGATTTCCCGTATATCTAAATATGTTTAGTGAAAGGTACTTCCGAAATCTCCGTGTAAACAATTCGTGACGCTGGACACGGTTCAGTTGGACATCTGATTCAGATCAGTTCGACATGGCTGTTAACAAGAGGTAAAAACTATATAAATACTGTTCGTCAGTGTTGGGTGTAACTAATTACTAAGTAATTAGTTACTGTAATTTAATTACTTTTCCCTTGAAAATGTAAAGTAAGGGATTACTCTTAATTTATCTGTAATTTAACTACAGTTACTTCTGATGTAATTGAGGTAAATACTGTGTATAGATCAATCCGATCTCACAGCGATTCTTATGCATTTTATGACGTGTCTAAATTGTACAACTGCACTCGTACAAATTCGTATGAATTATTGTAAAATATGTATGAAAAAAGTGTAAAATGTCATGAGATCAGACATAAAACAATAGTGGGTTTAACATAAAAAAGTATGTTTTTATGATGTAACCTTCTCCACCTTCATGCAATTTTATAGTATTTATTTGAAAAAATTAAAACAGATTCATGTCTATCCTTGTATTATTCAGCTGGTTGAGATTGATACGGGATTTTGAAAGTAATTAGTAATTAAAAGTAATTAAATACTTTTTAAAAGAGAGTAATTAGTACAGTAATCCAATTACACTGTTAAAGAGGTAATTAGTAACTAGTAATTAATTACTTTTTTAGAGTAACTTACCCAACACTGCTGTTCGTTTTCTCACACAAACCGCTCGTTTCGTGTCTTAGGCCATCAATGTGTACTTACATTTACGAGTCATTAAATCATGTTTAATTTGGACTTCTCTGTGCATGCTCTTTGAGGTGGTGACCATAGACCTCCATTATATGAGTGACAGACAAGAACGGTTTGACCTAAAAATATTAAAATTGAAAATACTGTGGAAACAAAGACACCTACATCTTGGATGCCCTTGAGGTAAGATAAAACATACCAAAAATTAATTTCAAAGTAAAAAAAAATCCCTTTAACTTTAACTTAACAACTTAAATTTTCATTTTACTATTAAATGACTTTAGAATTCTTGGAATATAGTGTGAAAACTTTACAGTGTTTTGCAATGGTTTTATAGGCCTTTAGTGGGGCTTAACAATATCACAATATCGGACCTGCAGCCGTGGCGGGATGACTTTAGGTGTGGGTACGGCAGAATGAATGTAGCGGAAACACTGTGTGTGTGTGTGTGTGTGAGAATAATCCTAACCCTGACCCTATTTCCCACTATAATTGAATTCCTGAACTTTTGAAAAGGCCAAAGCAATCCCCAGTAGAGCATCTACAGATTAATCTCTCCTCATTCCACATTAAGCCACAAACGTCAGCCGAGTTCTCCCTGAGATTTACTGCTCCTGATATTGGCGTATACACCACGCCACATCTACTCACCTGCAGGTCAAAGCTGCTTTGAGGATTTTGTCGTCGCTCTGTTCTTTGGCCAGCGGTCTGAACCTTCTCTAATGCTCCTATGAATGAGAACAGAGGAATGTAAACACACACACAGATGTATAGAGATATTTTTCCAGCTCTTTAAGATGCAATCTCACCTCGTATCTCCTCATCTCTCAGCCGGCGAATGGCTGCCCGAATGAGTTTTCTCTCTTCATATTCACTGGTGCTTTGCAACTTGAAAGAAAGAAAGAAAAATAGAGGGCAAGACACAAAAACGGTAGTTAGGTTAACGTGACGGATAGTACATTTCCACAAAATTCAAACAATTCAATGCAACTGGTCTCATACAGATTCCTCAATATGAAGTGTAGCACTCTCAGCTGTGTTTAACACACATTTACCATATTTAAATCATTTAAAAAAAAAAATTTACCGCAAAGAACAGGGCAGTGCGACTGGCAGTAATAACATTTTATTAATCGCTGAATAAAAGTGGTGAATTCACACAGTCGGTGAGGGACATTCACCGACCTCAATGGCTTATCACCTGAAACATGCTAGTAGCAGCAACTTTACAAGTCCGTTCCATCTAATGTTAACCTAGATAAATGTGCGCTAATATTAGGTATATATTCAAGTGTTTGTGTGGAGAGCGCACTTACTGCATGACATACAGGCACCGGTGCGATCACTTACATTTAAAACACTCAAACAAACTGTAAAGGGTCTACTTTTATCTCTGAAACTCACAATAACAGCAAAACATTGTGCTTTTGTAAAATAATGAAAACAATCTGGGTGCGCTTTCTGCCGTCTTGGTCTCAGTCACGTCACAAAACGAACCGAAACTCAGTGTATTGCCTCACAGTAGGGATGGGCAACGATTAATCACGATTAATCGCATCCAAAATAAAAGTTTGTGTTTACATAATAAATGTGTGTGTAGTGTGTATAATTCATTTGTATATATAAATACCCACACATGCATGTATATATTTATGAAATATGTGCATGTATATATTTTATATATATTTATTCACAATTAATATTATATATATATATATATATATATATATTATATATTAATAACACATTTTTCTTAAATATATACATGCATGTGTGGGTATTTATATACAAATTAATTACACACTACACACACATATTATGTAAACACAAACTTTTATTTTGGATGCGAGTAATCAATGCCCATCCCTACCTCACAGACATGAGAAATATATCTATAGAAAGCTTGAAATGTCTACTTTTAAATAGACCAATTAAATTGGAAAATAAATATTTTAAGATTATGTAATCCATATGAAACGTGCATATAGGCAGCTAGGCGCGTCCACTAGCTGCTGCGGAGATGACGAGTCACTTAATCGTTACTTAATTATAAACAGAGATCATTATCAATAAATGATTAAAATGTTAAGAGTGTTTTTTTAACGACACACTCATAATCATTAGGTTTGCCGGAGTGCTTTGCCAAACTTTATGCATGCATTTAAGCGCTGATTAGGCCATGTAATATATTTGCTTATAATTATGATTTATGGCTTATTTATATAAACGATAGGGCTGTCAAACGATTAATTGCATCCAAAATAAAAGTTTGTGTTTACATAATATATGTGGGTGCACTGTGTATAATTATTTTTTATACATGTATATATATATAAAAAAATATATATAAAATATATAATAATATATATATATATATATATATATAAATACACACACATGCTTGTATATATTTAAGAAATATTTTCAAGTATATACTACTGTATATATAGATTTATATTATTTATAAATATAAATATTTTATATATAAATAATATTTTTTTCTTAAATATACATGCATGTGTGTGTATTTATATATACAAAATAATTATACACAATGCACCCACATATATTATGTAAACACAAACTTTTATTTTGAATGCGATTAATCATTTGACAGCCATAATAAACGAGCGACTAATCACTTAAATGAACGACTACTAGTCGATTAGAAAAATCTTTCGTCGAGGGCAGCCCTAGTTTTACTAGACACAGGCGATTCGTTGTTATTTATGAATGAGATCAAGTGAGTGTTTGAAACAGAAAGAACACAATCACGGGGGACTACGGATGAAAAATAGCCTTTGGCTAAATCTGGTACAATACATGAAATGGAAATTTTAATTTTATGTTAAAAATTGTGCATAGTCCCTTTATATAAAAAAATACATTTAAAAAAAGCTCTAATAGAGACTGGACCTCTTGGAACTTGAGGCCAGCATCTCATTGGGGCATTAATGAAAGTAAGAGTACATTTACAGTACATTTCACTGAAAACACCCCATTATAGAGAACTTTATGCAACTTGCATGTATTCTTTGACAGCGTTCACAGAATGTATACTTTAGTCAATTTCCATTGCTTTCATTAGGAACAATATACATTTTACACATGCAATAAAACTTTAACCTAAAACTTTGGATTGGGCCCATAGCAGCCTTTTGTTTTACACTAACACTAACTTAAAGGACATGCTATCCAGGGCAAAAACACTGATCAACCATCTCCAGAAACCCCCAGCATGTTGACAGGAACAACACGAGCGAATCATCAACAAACATTTTATGTCTTTACACATGTCCTTACCAGTCCATTAAGTTCTTCAATGTCATGTATAGCCTGAATCTTCCCCGATAGCATGTCTAAAGAAGCCGTCAAATCAGCAGGACTGCAAATACAAGCAAACACGTTCAGATTCAGAATGTAATTTGCAAACATATTTTTGCATTTCAAATTATATTAAATATCTTCATACCAGCACTGGTTTTCTTTATCCTCATGTCTGTGCTGGTGGGCACGTCTGAAGCGTTTACTGGTTAGCGCCGCCTCCATTTCTTCAATCTCACAGCGCCGCAGCTCCCGAATCGCTGTCCGGATCAGACGCCGCTCGTCTATATCGATAGTTTTATCGAGCTGGGGAAACACACAAAGCAAGCAAGCTTAAAGTATGTCAAATATTATTTTTGGGTAAAGCTGTGCCACTTTTTACTTGCATTATCCTCTAAACACAGGGATCCGAGACAAAAACTGAATTATATTTTAAGATATGCATGCTACAGATTTTATTAATAACGTGTTGAGTGTTTTCTGTTAGAACGGTGTCGTGTTAGCGGTTAATAATGATCTTTGCAACAGAAGTAAAATCAATCAATCAAACGATTGGACGATTACTTAAGTCTAGAGCTGCTGCAAAACAATCTCTGTTACTGTAATTTCCTATTATCACTGTAAAGCTCCTTTAAAACAATCTATATTGTTAAAAGCGCTATGACTTGACTAATTGAGAACATGACCTGGAATGATGAAGACACAAAAGCAGGTCATCTGTACAGCGGGAGAATAATAAGGGCTCTATATTCACTCTGGAGCAACGGCATCCAATCAGTACGATCTGCGAATGCTCTACATAACATATTTGGAGAATAAAATGTTGGAAACATGCATGCTGCTGTTCTCAAATTATTCCAGTGTTGGTAGTTTTCTTCAGTAGGTTTCCTATACAGAGGGATTCGGCATATGCACAGTAGCTTGTGATGTGCTAGAAAAGCTTTACCCAAAGTAAGGATGTCACAAGGAGGGCGTTTTCACACTGGTATATAAGTTTGCGTCAACACCGGTATTACCGCTAACATTGGGTTGGGCATCTTTTCACTTTCGCTTTTAAAGTTCGGTTCGGTAAGGATGCGTGTACCATTGCAGCCACTGTTTTAGTGTGGAGTTGGGAGCTCCACCAGCGCTTTGCAGTATTAACGTTTAAGATTATAATATTGATTGATCGTTAATTTGAATGAAAATCGATTATTAATATTCCTGTAAATTGACATCCCTTACTGTCTGGGTGTGGTTGGGTGCAGTGTTGTGCATGAACGCGTTAAACAGGCCTTAATATTAGGGCTGGGTATTGACACAAATTTCACAATTCGATTCGATTTCGATTCGATATTGATTATTTTGGATATCATTTACAATAAATGGCAAATTTTCTTAAGGAAATCAAATCTCTGAACTAATGCTGTAAACTATGGGAGTCTAGTTGTAGCCTATAGACTTCATTAGCCTAATATGAAGGTAATAATGAACTGTTTTGTAGCTATACAAACACTTAAATTACACTTTTATTTGTTTTTATAATAAGAAGATTGTGAAATATAAACATTTAAATGGTGGCTGTCATAAAAACGTGCCAGATTTATTCAAATATGCATTAAATATTGAAGAACATTAAGATTATAATGCATATGTAATATGGTGTATATATTTAGCAAAATGCTCCTCTCTAGAGTTATTTTTTCTAGCTGACTAACGAGTTTATGTGGGTTTTCTGAGGTAAATATGACGATACATTGATTACAAGCTGTTTAACTGACGTCTTTCCACGGTTGAAACGCTGATTGAGTGAATCAATGTGACATGATACGGATTTCGATAAGTTGTACTCTATCTTTTAACACACTTTCAGATGCTCATTCATGTTTATCGCGCTGTAACTGGTATTATTAAGCTTCTCTTGAGCTGCGCCAGAGCGATCTCACGCCACAGCGCCAAAACCTTATTTATGTTTTTGAATTTCTAAAGAAAATGGACGTAATTTGAAAATTGAGACTTTGTTTCATATCAATAGTAACAAAGGACAAAGATTATTGCGATTTTTTGGATGCGCGCAGCCGCGATACAATGATCCAGTCATTCAAATGAAACAGGATGACTAACCGATTTTCGAGATTTAAGAATCGATATCGGTTCGTAAAAATGAGAATCGATTAATATCGAGAAATCGCTATTTATTACCCAGCCCTACTTAATACACCCAATCTGGCAACACACACTTTCAGTGTCGCACCGCGGTCGCCGTCGACAAAGCAGCGAGCAAGGAGGTGTCGTATGATCATTTAAACGGATTTTATGACGAGGTCGGAGAGGATGGGAAAAATCTTATATTTCTGTGCAAATTTTGCCCGTTGATAAAGTAATTGTTGTCTGTGGTTGTATACGGGCTGTGGCAATAATAATAATTTAAAAAAGCTTGCAACATATGGAAAAAAATAACTATGAATGAACTAGTTCATTTTTGAAGTATGAACTGAACAAGTATGAACTGAACTTTGAACTAGTTCATGTAGAAAGTGACCTTTCCCAACACTGTTAGGATGTTACTGTATATCCGGTTGAAAAAGTCACCAGTAAAGAGTTCATGGCAATGGTTTATCATCAGTAGGAAACAAGTGTGTTGGGTGGATTTGACTTCCTGTGTCTTATCAATACGTCCATATTAAACGCCTTTTGTGAAGAATGACAATGCTTTTGAGAGATAAATATTTTGTGAACACTTCATAATTTAAACAAACAGAACCATATTAATCAACATTAAATAGTCACAATGAAAACACAAAATTATGTGGTCAAATTCAATATTATACTACTTTAACTTTAAGTGGTCGTAGTCATTAGTTTAGATAGTTTAGCTAGAATTCAAATACCTAAAGTAACCCTGAAATCTTGCAGAGTAAAACTTTAAGGGGTGATGAACCGAGAAATCAAATTTTTCTTTTCCTTTTGATATCTAAGAGATCATCATATTATAAGAATATCCTGTAAGTTTCAGAACTGAAAACGTCCTTGATAGTCCAATAAAAGCTTTTATTGACACCAGGCTCAATAAAACTATGACGTCAAAGAGGATAAAACACCACCCCCGCAGAAGAAGATCAACGCCTACATCAACACGGCGGGTTTAGCCCCGCCCACCAATTCGCGCATTCACACTAGAGCCAGACCGATATTATCGGCCGCTATTAGGCATTTTCCCAAAATATCGGTATCGGCAGTTATAATGGCCGATAAATTAATATTTAGAAAATAAAATAAAAATGGACAAAACATGCTTCAATCATCTCTCATTGGCTTGTTATATTGAAAATGTATGTTTTACAATTTGCAGTATGACGTTATCTTTTGCTAAATTATGGCTCATCATAGACTAGCTAACCACTAAGCAGGCTAATGCCACTATCATCAGTGGAAGACCGCTAACGTTAACATTAATGAGCTAGGAAACCACAATGAACTTTTTCTGCCTAAATAAAGTAATTATTACTGTATTTATAACTAGCATATCTCTAGTTACAGTCCCTGCATTGTAAAATGAAGTTATACTTGCGAGGAGTGAATATTTAGACACAGAGAAAAAGTATCAAACGTATCTTGTGCAGAAAAGTTAGCTTTTCTTTTACACGTGTGTGAAATCCAACAATATTTAATAAAAAAATAAAAAATAAAAATCGGCCGATATATTGGAATATCGGATTTTAAAACCCAAAAATATTTGTATCGGTATCGGCCTTCAAAATCCTTTATCGGTCGGGCTCTATTTCACACATAGCTAAATAACATAGGCCCACCTCGTGATGACAAACTGTATCGAAAGTGAAACTCATTATAATTTGCAAAACAGTTATCCACTCACAGCAGTGGCCGTTTACTTCCAAGTCTTCAGTGCGAGACGCCCATAAAAACCGAGCGTTTTTGAGCTAGGCTCAAAACTAGGGTAGAAAATAGCCAATTACTTATTGATTTTGATGTTTTTTTAATGTAAAAACCAAGTGAACATCATTAGTTGACTTCAGACAACAATATAAAAAAAATTTAAAAGCCAGTTCATGACCCCTTTAAAAGCTATCCATCAATTTCTCAGTCAATGAAAATGCAAGTTGTTTTCTCTCATTGTGTTCCACGGATGAAAGTCTTAGTTTGAAATGACATTCAAATGACTGTCATTCAATCAATCACAGTAAATCATGTTACAGAGTCTGAAAAATTATCTTGTTTGCATTGATACCAAAAGCACAGAAAGTCCCTGTATTTATCTTCTCTAAGCCGTAGTGAATCCAAATCAGAAAATAGGTTGGTATAGGAAGGTGTACCATCATACTAGTCTCTCATTTTAATTTCTTTCAATATTTTACCAAGTTGGAAGGAAAGGTGATGACGGCATGGAGAAACAGATGCAAAAGCAGCTGTTTGGCAGTTCAGCAGCAGCGTAGAAATATTCATTACACTTGCTTTAGGTATTGCCAAATCATACGTGCTGCAGAGATATGGCGAGTTAGTGTTCCCTGATTATGGAAACAGATGGAAACACAGAGCATCATGCAAGGATGAGCGCATTCACATCTGGTCTTAATCCTCTCAGGTGGTCCGATTACTGGTGAACAGAGGCAGCTACAGGTGTAATGGCAATCCAACATGTCTTGGAGACGACCAGCATTGGCTTTCCAGTAGAGCGTTGGCGCTTGCAACGCCAAGATCATGGGTTCAATTCCCAGGGAAAGCAAAAACTGATAAGAATGTAAATGCTATTCAAGTTGCTTTGGATAAAAGCATCTCCCAAATGCATAAATAGATGATCCAGTCACTCAAAGGTAAAATGCTTGGATATCACTTATGCCAGGTTCAGACTGCATGATATCAGCCCGATTTTGGCAAGAATCAAACGTTTCATCTCGTACAACTGGCGCCGCATCTGTGACGCTTCATGAGGTCACGACAGAAAGACTAGCATGTTTTAAGTTCAGTGACGTTGACCAATAGGAGCACAGAAGCTCTTCTGTACACATCTTTCAATTATTCCCAATAAATAGTGACCCAATTCCAATTATTTCATCCCCTGTGGCACAGTTCAGATATGACCCATGAACTTGTGATTCTCAGATTAGTTTCAGGCCTCATTCACAAGTGGAATAAATCTGATATGAATCGTATACGTGAATTGCGTCTGGCGTGTAAGCAACGGGGTATTCCTCTGTCAAGGTGATCCGTACATCATTGATAAAGTGACCGTGGAGAAAGACGTCAACTCAGGTGGACACCAACCGTGATCACATGACTTTTTAAAGGAGTAGTTCACTTTTTAAAAA